TGGTCCCTTTGTCAGAGATTGTGCATTTTTGTTCCTGGGAAAAGATACCAATGTTTAGTCAAGGTACAAATCTCTTAAACTCAGTTTGCACATGGTTAGTAAGCATATTAAAGTTTGCTAACTAAATTTTCAGAAAATTCCATGTGATCTGAGACAGTTCCATAAAGGTCCTGTCTGAGTCTGGACTCCACATGCGCTATCCAAGGGGGGCATATATATGTGTCGGCTGGCCAGTAGGACTCCTGGACACAGCAACTCAGCAACCCTTGCTGCCACTTGCCCTGTTGGTGAATTCCTGGGTACAGAGTTCCTTTAAAAACTCATTTTGGTAGTGGCATAGCCCTCTGAGGAGCCCCACAGTTCAGGTCTAGCCTGGGGATGACAAGCCAGATTGATACCCCTGATGTACCCAAAGCTTCAGGACCTGAACAAGACATGCTACAGTGATTCTTGACAGCAGAAAGAGGCCATTCAAATTCTGGGCACTGGAATGGAGAAAAGGGAGACTGAGAGTGCCCAAGAGACTGCTCCTTCTGTGGGCATCTCAGGAGAACAAGGATGCAACCTGACTTGAACAGGTGGTATGCAAATGAGCTAAGCATTGAGGAGCTGGAATTGAAAGGGGCAGAAGCACAGCGGGATAGAAAAAGGGGCTAGGGAGAACAAAAAGGGGTGGAGGAAGTCCCAGACTGAGCCTAGAAACAGTACCCTAGTAGAAAGGGACCAGGAGGGATAATGGCAGAAGGATCTGTAACTACAAGAAAACACGGTTTTCCAGAACCTGGAATTAAATTTTACATTCACATATCTAAGCACTCTTGACTACAAATAAGTGTGAAATCCATTGACAATATGTACATCCATTCATCTTTTGTAGCAAGTCCATATAAAAGGCAGCAGTCTTTTGCTACAGCTTAGTCTCTAAAGATACAAACAAACCCTGCTAACAACTTGGCAAGTTGGGGAGGGGTAGGGTGGCTTTATATGATGGTATTTGTTTGTTTGTTTCCCAGGATTTAAATATTGAACAATTTAAGAGATTGCATACAAAATTGTGTTAAAAGCGTGCAATCTTTATGTTCTTGAACAATTAAAAGTTAAGAAATGCCAGAATTAAAGTTGTTTGTATAAGCCTGATTCACTCCTTCATATTGCACCGTAATAAAATTATTTTAATTACAGGACTACATACTGTTCCTTCTCTCCCCCCTACCCCAGCAGGACCCCTCTCTCATTTAGTGCAAACTATGAACAATGCTATAGGAATATATTTAGGGTATATAGTCAAAGGAGCTATTGTATGCAGGACCCTTGTTATTTTGCAGCAGTTGGAAAATAGTGAATCAGACAAGACACTTTGGAAAGAAAAAGGAATGGTTTTGTGGTTAAAATTGACATTGTGGAGGCGTGCTAGTTCCTCACAGCTGCAAATGTTGGTCAATAGGAGTTCTGCTTTAAATGTACATACAGTGCTTTTAAAATACGAAGTATTCTGAGTCAAGGCCTTGAGTCAGCAAAGTTAAGCATGTAAATGTGATTCTATTACAGCCTCTTAAATTATGAAAATCCACAAATGCATATAGACAAGTTTTCCCCCTCCACCCCCCCAACTTCGGGGGGAGGCCCTCCATCTTACATTCGCATACAAGAAAACCTCACTTAAATGCACTGTGTCTATTATTAAACTGCTACCAAAAGCAACATGTGCTCAGTAATGGAAACCAGCTATAAAACTGATTAAATGCAGCCAACACTAAGCAAGACTATAAAAGACATGGCCTATGTGCCTATAGGTGCACCAATTATATTGGTTGCATATCGGATTGGCATCAATAAAAGGAAAATTAACATCGGCTATCAGTTTTTCTTGGCCATTGCACCGAATAACGTTCTCCGATTAATTAATTACGCCGGGGCCCCCAGAAACCTGGCTTGCAGGAGGGAACCCAAGGTGACCTCGAATACACCCCCATTCCCTCACCGGCGGGCCAAGCTGGGCTGGAGCGAAGCAGCTGCTGTGGTGTTATGGGTGCTGGCGTGGCACAGACTGCGGGCTGGGGCCGAGGTGGGCGCTATAAAAGGCACCAAGAGCCTCAGATGTGACTAGGGCAGGGAGCAGCAGGTGGACCTGAGCGGCCTGCCCCGGGCCAGCATGACTTAACTCGCAGGGCCTAGGAGTCTGCACCCCAGGGGCTGGAGGCAGAGTCTGGCTGGGGCCAGGGCTGCCCCTGCTCCCCACTGTGCTGCAGGGTCCTTCCCCTGGCGGGAAGGAAGTCTCCGGAAAGTGGGGCAGTGGCGCTTTAATTTAAAGCGACTTTGAGAGCCGTTCTGATTAAAGTGCCCATAGACCACCCAGCCCTGGGCAGCCTCAGACTCAGTCAGCTGTCCCCAGGCTGAGGTTGAAGGGCAGGGGCTGCAACTGGCACAGGACACTTATACGTGTGCTTGGTGGGGGTGGGGGTGAGGGGGAGGAATGTGCTCTAATTAAAGTGTTGCCGTGTATTGGTCTCCACGCTTAGAAGTGGCAGTGGGGGCACTTGAACTAAAGCTCATTTGATGAGTTTTATCACTAAATATTGATTATCGGACTGGTATTGGCCAATATGGCTGGTTAATAATCGGCTATCAGTATCGGTTAAGAAAATCCTTGCATGATATTAGTCGTAGTATAACCTATCTGAATAAGATATATGGTAATAGCCATTGCACTCAGTCCTCCTCAGTATGGATTCTTTTTCAATTCCTGGTGAGCCACTTCACTGAATACATTTCAACTTCCCCTTTACTCCCACACCTGACCTGCACCTTTCTTTCCCATTTCCAATGAGTCCTGGTTTTTAACCCGCCTTAAATGTCTGGCAAACGTCACTGAATGGGGCCCCAAACAGTTTACCCAGAATCCCTTTGTTGCCTTCCCCCCCCCCCCATCTTAGCTTGTCCCACATGATTGGTGTGTCCCCATCCTCCATAAGGTGGAGGTGGAGCCAAACCAAGTTACCCCGCACCTCATCTGCATATATGTTTTTGGAGGATCCCAGGACTCTCTTGACAAGAACACTTGGGTCCCATCTTGAGTAGGGGGCTAATTAACACATGGATCCTTTGTGGAGGGTATCAAGTACACACCTACTGAACAGTACTGTATTGTGGGGTCGCCAGGACTTGAAACGTCTCTGCTGGGACTCAACCCAGTGAACTGTATGGTAAATCATGAGCCTTTTGGCCTTGGACTAATATCATGCATAGTTTGCTCTCTCTGCAAGTGGATACAAATGTGCTGCTTAAAAGTGTGTTTACGGACTTTGTGAGCTAAAACTTGTAGCAGTTTCAAAAGACATAAACTGAAGTGATTCTGGAGAAACTAAGTCTGTGAGTATCTGTAATAATTGCCCTATATGCAAGTGTGTTTATTTCTAGAGTAGTGTTTTCAAATTTGCTCTCGCTTCCATGTGCTCAGATAGAGCAGGGTTTAACAATAAGAAAGGAGCTGCACGGGAAAGAAGTGAGGTGGGGGGGACACACGAAGGGGGTGGAAATCAAGGCAAAACTCCAATAACTAGATTCCATACCTGGAAAATATAACAAATTTATACATTTTCCATATATAGACCCAATTATTGGGAGGTTGTCTTGTAACCAGGATCATCTTATATTTGAGTAAATATGGAACTTTTGTTACCCATTATCTTACCCTTAAGATGGAAACCAAAAAACCAGTAAGAAGGAGGACCCACCCACCTTTTAGCATTAACAGTTCTTCAAGACTTGAGCTGGATGGTGTAAAATCTTTCATTCTGGGCCTCGGCGTCATAAAGTGGCCATCCAAAATTATTGGGTACTTTTGAAAATCCTGGCATTACAATCTCTGTGCCTTAACTCTATATCTATACAAAGGGGATTAAAATGTCCCTGCAGGGCTGTCCTGAAAATAATTTAATTTATTCCTGTATATAACTAAGGTTTTATTGCAGAATAAGGTAGAAAAACCCCTAAGTTAAGCAGTAGTTCTCCATTAGATGCAGACTTTGGATTATGTCAGTACCACTGAGGAGGGTACAGTTTTGAAAACGCATGTTTACTGCGTAGTAGCCTAAATTACTGCACAGTATGGGTGCAGATCTATACATACATCCCTGTAATGCACAGTAAAACTGACAATTTACGCCAACTTGAGCATAAATTTGAAACCTGCATCATGATGGTATCAAATTTATGCCAGATTAGTTACTGCACAGTAATGCACATGTAAACACTTTATTGCACAATCACCCTGTGTGGGGACTGGCTTGGGTCTCACTTTAGTCCCAAGTCAATCCACACACAATATTAATGCACTTTAATGCCTGCAAATGTAGACATCAGCCTATTCCCACTTACTGCGCAGTAAATTTAAGCCAGCATAAATGCAAGTCTAGACATGTCCAGTGAGTACCATCTATTTTTACCACTGAAAGAATCAGGGGTCCTGTTAGGAGGAAAAAATGGTATTTGCTTATGTAATTATAGACTGCATTATAATGCATGCACACATGGGATCTGAATTAAGCTAGCATAGGCAGCCCTAATTCTAGCATTTCCTAATGAATGATTTCATGACTTTTTGCAAATTTATTATAATGTAGAGGTTTTTTAGAAGTCGATTTTCATAGAGCCCTGTTATTAAACACATGCTGCTGTATGCGTTTTGATCTAGGATTGTGACATTTTATTTAAGTAATGAAATCCTGAATTTGAAGCGTCTTTCGTGATCAGAACTGGCCTCTCTGACCAGTTAATAACTGACTAAATATGAATGATTTCTTTTTTATATACAGTTATAAGTAGAATAGAATTCCATTTCCACAATTTTGCTTTTTATGTACTCTTTACTGAACTCTCTTCTCTGAGGGTGTTGTACAACAGATTCAACTAACATAAATTGTTAATTTGGTCATGTATTCGGAAGCATCTCATTTTCTACTTCTGTTTGGTAACTTTTTTTCTTATTTTAACTATTCCAGGTTTTGTATTCCTATTCAATAGGTTTTGTGTACATTTTATTGGGATTGATATGCATTGGTGGATTAAGTCCTGCAATAACATTTTGCTCGAAGGTAAATACTGGTTTTATTATTAGCACTAGTCTAACTAGTCTTCTGTTTTAAGGAAATAGTAACATTTTATGTACTTCTTGGTGATTCCTCATTGGTAAGTCTATCCTTAGTATAGTTTGGAATGTCTTACCATTCCCTTAACCTGACTTCCTGAGTAGGCATACAGAAAAAAACTGTATGAGTTAAGGTATGAACAGAGAGATGAACAGCCTTCGATCTGGTATCCCACGATCACCTTTTAGTAAAACTGGCCAACTGCAGCCTCGGCTTCACCACAGTCCGCTGGCTGGGGAATTGGCTCCGTGGTCGAACCCAGAGGGTGGTAGTTGATGGAAGTCAATCATCATGGTGCACTGTGACCAGTGGGGTCCCTCAAGGCTCTGTCCTTGGGCCTATATTATTCAACATCTTCATGAATGCAGTGGCCATTGGCATCAGAAGCAGACTGGCCAAGTTCACTGATGACACCAAACTTTGGGGTAAAACATCCACACCTGAGGACAGGAGGGCGATACAGGCTGACTTTGACAGGCTCAGCAAATGGGCAGACGAGAACCTGATGGTGTTTAACACCAAAAAATGCAAGGTTCTCCACCTTGGGAACTAAAACCCACAGTATGCTTATACGTTTGGCAGTGCTACGCTGGCTAGCGCTATGAACAAAAGGGACTTGGGTGTCATGATTGACCACAAGATGAACGTGAGCCTTCAGTGTGATGCTGCAGCTAGCAAAGTGAGCAAAACGCTGGCTTGTATCTATAGATGCTTCTCAAGTAAATCCCAGGACGTCATTCTCCTGTTGTACTCGGCCTTGGTGAGGCTGCAGCTGGAGTACTGCGTCCAGTTTTGGGCTCCACAGTTCAAAATGGATTTGGAGAAGCTTGAGAGGGTGCAGAGGAGAGCCACACACATGATCAGAGGTCAGGAAAACAGACCTTATGATGAGAGGCTGAGAGCTATGGGACTGTTCAGCCTGAAAAAGTGAAGGCTCAGGGGTGATCTGGTGACTGCCTATAAGTTTATCAGGGGTGTTCACCAGGATCTGGGGGAACATCGGTTCACCAGAGTGCCCCAAGGGAGGACAAGATCGAACAGGCACAAACTCCTCCATGATCGTTTCAGACTGGACATAAGAAAGAACTTCTTTACTGTCCGAGCCCCCAAGGTTTGGAATAGACTGCCGCCAGAGGTGGTTCCAGCACCTACCTTGAACACCTTCAAGAGGCATTTGGATGTTTATCTTGCTGGGATCCTATGACCCCTGCTGACTTCCTGCCCCTGGGGTAGGAGGCTGGACTTGAAGATCTTCTGAGGTCCCTTCCAGCCCTAATGTCTATGAATCTATGATTGAATTTCAAGTTAAGATAAGTTCTGTTTTACTTCACAGCTGTCCGTGGGCTATATATGACCCATAAAGAATTAAGTTGCAGTCCCTGGGCTCCTGCCTGGCTACTGGTAACCCCCATCATTCAGGCTGCAAAGGCAGCTATAGTCTCTGGGCTCCCTCTCCCTCTTCTGGCTTCTGTTTTCTGCACCCACTCTATGGAGCAGGATGAGGTGATTCAACACAGCACAAGGAGCTGAGAGTGAGGTGTAGGCTGCGTGCTGCAGCAGGGAAGGGGGAAAAGGGTTTGGGTGCACTGACATGCACTGCAGCAGTGGAAGCGGGGTTGCCCATGTGGCTGCGTACTGAAGGTGTGGGGGGTGGGGGCAGGAAATGGACCCTTGCACATAAATCATGGGTTTTTTAATTGTAGTTTATGTTCAAAGTAGATTCATTTTATTAAAAGTGCCAGACTTTGAAGCTCATCATTTCATTATTTTTTTTCTGTTTCTTAATCTTGATTAAATAAGAATCTTTGCATGAATGCATTGTTGTACAGCTTATTATTGCTCAAGCAGTTGATTAAAGTCTATAGTTTTATTTCATTTTGCAATACCTCAGGGTTTGTTTTGCATTTTCCTAACAGGTTTTTTGTTGTTATTGCAGCATCCAGTCCAGACTTATGGTTATGCATTCTTCTTTTCACTTACTGGGTATTTTGGAATATCCTTTGTTCTAGCTTTGATTAAAATCTTCGGTGCCCTGCTGGCTGTAACAGGTATGAATAAATTGCATATTTAGTATTTTAATATAAAAGCATAATGTAATCCCACATTTTCATTTAAAACAAAGCTTATGAGAATTGTTCTTGCTTAAACTCTTCTTTCACTCTAAGAACTGATTTTTCCAGAGTTCTTATACAGTGACTCTTGCAGTATATTTGAGAACCTCATAGTTCTTTCTTTCCTACGGTCTCAACCTGAAAAAGCAACTTGCACAAACTTTCCTGGTGCCTAAGCCTTAAAGAACATCCCTTATAGAAGTGTTGTCTCAGAAATTTACTCCAAAAAAAAAAAAGTAGAATTTGTTTGGGGCAGTGAGGAAAAAAAATGTAAATGGGACACAGGTAGGAAAAAAGTAGTGTTGTGCTTCTGCAGCATAAAATCTTAGCCTTCAAGAGATTTTTGGAATTTTTTTTTACAAATGTCCTTGCTAGATTATTTACCTGATTAACTCTGCTGGGGCCCTGAACCTCCAAATGTTTGACTTTCTGTTTAAAAAAAAGTTAAACGTACATTGCACACATGATACAAAGTAAGCTCTTTTTGAGTAGAGGAAATTACTGTCTTTTTAGTTGTTTCAGTCCCACTTATTTATCTGGAATACTCTTGTTGTGGTGACTGGAATAATAATATATGCTTCTGTTGTCAGGGCTTAACATAAAGGGTTCTAAATATTTAAGTTCTCTGAATTTTATTATTTATTTTTATAGTAAAATAATATAAATATAGAATAGTATTACATTCCTGAAAGACATTAAAAATAGCATTTATAAATATAAATCCAGTAGTCCATTACCCTTCTTAAAAATAATAGCATCCCTCAAGATCATTTCTGAAATTTGAGTTTGTCCCAGCCACTGACCTTAAAAGTCTATGCAGGTTGTTGGGCTTTGCAGCATGCCCTGTAGGTCAGCAAAAAATATGTTTCAGACAGAGAGTAACAATGAATTCCAAAGCTGAATGCCATACCAGCAGCTCTCTCTTAAAAACCCAGAGAACTGCTATTTGATTGTGTAACAGCAGCTGAGACTCTTCATTATATCTCTAGACTGTAACTTATGTTGGCAAATGTCAAAGATGCAGTTATATGCTGGCTAATCCTCCAGTTGCTTTCCTAGCCTGACAGCATTGCTTGCATTTTGCTCCAGACAGCCCTTATATATGCCCCAATTTCAGTCAGATACTTAGCGTGGCAGTTGACTGAATCAGCTGGTTCTGAAACGTAGGTGCACAATGGCTGCTGTCAGTATTCTGAAAGCAGGCCAATTACTAATGCTTCTAACAGCCCCACATACACAGAATAAGAGAGGTGACGAGAATCCTGTAGAACTCGAGAAAGGAGAAGCCTAAAATAAGAGCAGCCACTCCCATTACTATAGGAATGCTCTGCAAGAAAATTACGTAGGGGACATCTTGTCTCTCTCTGCAAGGATCTGCAGGCAAGTCAGCAGTACCTTGTGAGCTTTTCGGTTGCGTGGACATCTGACATGCATCCATTTACGAAGAGAACCAGCAGCACAACCAGTACAACTTCTACTTCATGCACAGGTTGGTACCCATACCAACACGAATAAAGAGAAACTGCCGCAACAACACTTCTTCCCTCAAGATAGAATTCCGATCACCCATCTTTGAATCCCTTGCCAAACAATATATCAAGGATCTGTCCAGCTGTACTTGTTGGGCAGTCAGCTATATGGAATAGTAGTGTGCTGAGCCTGAAATCTTTAGTCAACTCAAGTTTTGTTATCTACCTGCAAGTTAAAGTCATTAAGTACACAGAGCCTCAGTGCTGCACTAGCAAGTAACTTCATCTGTTTATGGATGAACTTTGCAGTGCCACAGGGAAGTAGAGGGGAGGAGTAGCTTTTCCAGTACTAAAATATCAGTGTATTCTATTTGTGTTTTGTCTGACATCCTTAGTGAGGATGATTCCACTTAATTTACTTACCAGAATTTGTTAAAGCTTAAACTGTTTTACAACAGGTGAGTGGCTAGAAAGGCAAGCATAACAAAAACCATGACTCAGGGATTATCTGTACTCTTTTAGTGTGGCTTATATTTGTATTCACTCAGCCACCATCATTTAGATGGTCATAAAATTTAAATACATAGTGGTATTTGAATGTAGTTAAGCTAGCTCCAAAAATTATATATCTAATGAACATTATTATCCTGTTCCATCGTGCCTTTGCAAGTCAGCTCTCTTAGAAGCTGCTTGCCTGTTAAGTTCCCTGGTTTTGAATAGTAAGATGGGAAAACAACCTTATTATCCATGTAGCTACTGAGTTGTCTACAACATTGAAACAAAAAGAAGTCTAGCGGACTCATGGATTTGTCACCTTTGTTCTCTTTCTGTCCATTTTCAAGACATCCTTTTTAAATTAGTGCTCTTTGTCATGGCCAACTCTTAAAGAACCAGACCTACTCGTAACAAGAATAGATTGAGACTTCTGGAGAGTAAAATTGCATGTATATGCATTTCTCTGTACACTGAGGTGTTTCCCTAATCCCCCTATAGTTTATTAGATATATCGTATAAATATAGATGTTGTATACAAGTGCTCTGAGCCTTTCTGGATAGGGATACAAATCTAAATAATAACGATGGTTGCAT